CCTTCAAGAGAAAGAGAGGATCTTATCAAAGGTCTATTGATTTTGCCCAATCTTCCTTCTTATGTTCCTTACAATGCATTTATTATCTCTGCTCCTTGAAAAGAAAATAAGTGCCCCAAGGGAAAATGAAGAAATCACCTTTTATTTCAAAACTTTCAGTGCACATTTCTTTGTCTTCCAGAGAGATAAATAATAAAAAAGTCTGCAGCTGTGGGTTATTGAAAAAGTTCAAGGAAGGTTTGTTTCCTAAACACACCGATCAGAAAGGCTTTCATTTGTGTTTCATTCAACATGATTTCCGGGGCTCCATAAATGTTCCTTTATTCTCCCAGTGTGAAACCCTTTTATTTTCTTTGCCATTCTTTGATTGTTTTCTTTCATATTTTATTTTAGATGAGAACTGTCTTCTCTACTGTAGTAAGAATTGGTGACTTCAGTGCCTGGCTTCCAAGAGCTTACTGACTCACTGGATACCCAGGACACTTCTAGGCTTTGCCTTCATTCTAGGAATGCATTAAGTTGCTGAGGCCACAGACCCTCAAAGGAAGGTACTGCCCCCACTTGTCTGTGACTGCCCATTCCATGGCTTCTCCTGGTCTCACGATAAAATTCAAAGCTTCTCTAATGTGCAGATAGTCACATGGAAATGACAATATGGTGTAGGTCTGGGGTGAGCCCAAATTTTCTAAACTGATAGTCTGTGTGGCAAGGTCAGGGATGACATTAAAGACCTAAATGAAGTCTGACCAAGGTGGAGCCCAACCTCTCTGGGTTCCCATGGCCTCCTACACCTGCTCAGCCCCACCTCGAGTCACTCCTCCTTCCTCTTAGCTGCCTGGCCTGGGATCCTTGACCTAGAACAGTCTAGACCCTCTACCTTGCATTTCTCCCAGCAACTGTGTGGCTGGACCTCCTTGTACTTATCCTGGTTAGATGCTGGTGCTGGGTGGTCTTATGTCCCCTGGGGATTTCCTACTCTGGCTCCTTTGATCTTGTCTGTTTCCTCCTGGTAAACTGGAAGCTTGGACTAGGCCTTTAGCAACTCCACCTGCACTGTTCCCAATAAGATATTCCCAAAGTGTTCTTACTGGGTCACTCCCTGCTCATGTCCTTGATTCACTCTATACTCACGGAATACCTAGCCTCTGGAACCTGGTTATGTATATGTCTATTGATGTAAAAGACCAACTGTCCAGGGCTCTATGCCTACATAATGGATGTTGAGAGTGACATCTCCCATTTTTGGACATAGACACTGTTTGTCTTGAATAGAATCAAAGAAGAAATGGCTCTTATTAAACACCTACTGTGTGCCAGGCACTATGCAAAAGACAGATTTCTTCATCTTCCTGCATCTTCAGAAGCCAGTGTGGCAACTTGCTCAGCGGTCAGTGATTCGTAGATTGGAACAACATTCTCCTAACAAAATAAGGAGTGCGTTTCCTCAAAGAACCACTGTGGTCTCACAGCTACCCTTCATAGAAAATCATAACAGTTTCCCACCAGTTCTGGATGAAGTTCACACTCCCAAGCATGAACTTGGAAAGATTCCATCAATTTGAGGCAAAATAAGAGATACCCTGGGGGAAGAAGAGAGTTGCAAAATCAAGTTTATAAATCTCTTCTTGGGCTAAAAGCCTCTTTAGTAATAGGGACAGCACACGGGGCTGGCTAACACACTGAGCAGCTGCTGGGGCTTTTTATGCCTGTCACTTGAGCCAGGAAACAGAGAGTTCCTGGCTCTGGATGTGACCTGTTTCACACACACTTGCTCTTAGCACAGAGGAGCTGAGTGCCCAGTTCTGCCCTCTCTTGCCCACAAGAACAGCTCTGCACAGTTAAGCTCAGGGGCTATGCATTTTGGGGCTTTGACCATTTGTAAATTTCATACATAAATTGGGCCCCAGTACCCTGGGTCATCAGGGCCCCCACTAAGGCAAAGCTAAACCTGGCCTATCAGATGGGGGCAACATTTCTATAGTCCCATCTTTTCATTTTTAAACGCTGTGATTATTAGAAATGAATGAATTAGGTTTTGTTCAAATCCAGCGTGGCCCCGCAGAATTTAATCATTCCCCATACACCTCATCCTTCACCATCTGAAGTTTGGGGGTCTGCTTTTAGATGTCTAGTCACTGTGACTTTGTAACACTGTATTGTCATCCTCACAAGTATCCTCCCACCTTACAAGAAGCTGAACTTGAGAGTGACCCAGAATGTTCTCTGCATGTTCCCACCCTCCCTCTCATCTGACCCTTTTACGTACAGAATGCCTTTCAAGGAACTGAAAAAAAAAAAACATCAGTAATGGAAAATAGCATGAGGCACAGTACAGAGAGATCAAAATAAGGGTCGAGGGAGGTATATTAGTTTTTTTGTTTGTTTGTTTTTGTTTTTTGAGACAGGATCTCCCAGTAGCCCCAGCTGGCCTGGAACTCACTATGTAGACCAGGCTGGCCTTGAAGTCACGGAGATCCACTTGCCTCTGCCTCCCAAGTGCTGGGATTAAAGGCGTGTGCCACCACACCCGGCTATTAGTTATTTTTTAATCACGGTTCTGACAAAAATATCTGATAGAATAACTTAAGGGAGGAAAGATTTATTTTGGCACACAGTTTCAAAATGTCAGTCTCCCAAGGATGGGAAGGCTAGGTGGAGCAGAGCAGCTCATATCATGGCAGAAGGGTGGGGGATAGGTACAGGGACTGTTTCCAGTGCCAGGCTGGCTTTCTTCCTTTTGCCCCTCTCATTCCATCTGAGGACTCCAGTCCAGGAAATGTGCTACCCACATTCAGGGAATGTCTTTCCCTCCATTAATCGTATTTGGAATTGCTCTTATACACACAGCCAGATATATGCCTCAACCTTCTAGATAAATTCTAAATCCAGTCAAACTGACCATGGAGATTAACGATCCCAGGAAGTGTTCTCAAATTTGCTGTAATTATAGTAAGACAAGGCATAAAGAACCTTGAAAAATATATCTGAAAGCTCCTGATACCAAACATTTATGCTCTGAAGGAAGGCTGTGCTGAGGCCTCAGATCTGACCCCAAGTCTCACAGTGGCAGCGAAGGATAAATGCAGGAGGGATTGCAGCCTGTGCCAAGGGCCACAGGGGTGAAACACAGCATCACTGCAGTTTGCTCTGGTGTCTGGGGCCATGCCTGTGGAAGGACTGCAGTCTGTGCCATGGTGGCAGCAGGGCAGAGGCGTCACAGTACCACACAGTTTGCTTCTGGTGTTGGGGACAGAGATGGTGAGCAGTGCCTGTGCCTGGGAAGGTGTCGTAGGGAGGACTCATGAGTCACACTTCTTTTCTTCCTGACTCATGGATCAGCTGGCACACAGACCCTGGGTTGAAGGTGCTGTAACCCTGGACTGAAGGTGCTCCGGGTGCCTTTTAGCTCTTGTAGCCTTAAAGACACAGCATTTTCAGTTCTGTTTGTCAACAGTTCTAGAAAGCCCTCAATAAACACAGCTTCAGGCAGACAACATAGATACCACATACGCAGACTGGTATGGCATCTTCCAGAACACCAGAGAGCTTGCTTCTGTCCTGTCATTCTGGGAGAGGTGTGCCTGTGTGTGCCTGTGTATGCATGTGCGTGCGTGTGTGTGTGTGTGTGTGTGTGTGTGTGTGTGTGTGTGTGTGCAAGTACTCATGGAGGCCAGAGGTTGACATCTGGTGTCTTCCTCTATCACTCTCTACCTTTCTGTATTTTATTTATTTTGTTTTTTAAATGTTTATTATTTATTTATTTATTTGTGTATGTACACGTGTGTGTGCACAGAGGCCTGAGGAAGGTGTTGGATGCCCTCCTCTGTCACTCTCTACCTAGTCTTTTGAAGCAATGTCTCTCTCTGAACCTGGGGCTCATGCTTTCTCTGCTGGAAGGCAGCAAACCCCAGCAATCCTCCTAACTAGGGGTTATAGCCACGGGTGGGATGCCTAGTTTGTTATGTGGGTACTGAGATCCAAATGCAATCCGGTTTGTGCAGCAAGTGCTTATAATATTTGAGCCAGCTCTCCACTCCCAACTTTAATTTTGTGACAAGGCCCAAACCTGAAGTTCACTGATTAACTAGACTGTCTGGCCATTGATCACAGGGATTCTCCTGCTTGCCAGTGCTGGGATTACAGGCATATACCACTATACCCTGTTTTTTATGTGGGTACTGAGGATCTGAACTTAGGTCCTCATGTTTGCATAGCAAGCACTTTCTTGTCATGGTATATATCTACTAAAAAACTTTATTACGATGTATCTTTCTTTCCATTTTCCTTTACTGATGATTCTGTGTCATCTGTCACATGTAGTACTTTTTTTTCTGTTCCACCATTCCAGGAGTCCTCTTTCTCTACACCCTCTGTCCCATCACAAAGCAACTGTACAAGATGTTCACCTGAGGAGTTACACCCATGACCATTAAAGTACATGCCTAGAAGGAGTTCTGCCTTTGCCCCTTGCTAGCTGTACAAACTCAGGCAAGTTACTTAACTTCTGTATGACTCGGTTTCCCATCTTCCTGGAAAGTGGAATGAGCACTAGTGATAAAGCTGGCACATGAGTGGCACACAGGAGGGACTCAACAAGTGACAGGTGCTTTCAATTAGTACAGAATCGCATCCTCTTCTGCTGAGCTGATCAAACCTTTTCATGGACTCTCAGTTTATGGCAGATCTTGACTGTGATCAGAATCACTGGGAGAAAAATGTTAAGCCACAGATTGTTAAAACCCACACTGGAGTTTCTGATTCAGGTGTGAGGTTCCGTGGTGGGGATGATGCTGAGGCCAAAGACCACAGCTGGAGAATTCCATGTATACAGTGTAGACTCCTAATAAGTGAGTGTGGACAGCATGCTGGAACTCACACCCACAGTCTTCCTCATTGACTGTGTCCCACCAAGTCTATCTAGTTCTTCTCTTTGACTAGGACTGCCAGACACCTGGCCAGGCAAGATTTTCTAGGCTGTGTTCTGCTGGCCCCACACCTACCCCTTCTACCTTCATCTTCTCCCTCAGCCTCTCAGAATCCATGTCAAACACCATACTCCGAATTTTCCACTCCACAGTCATCCTTCCCATCTGTGTTCCTGCGGTATCTCTGACAAGGGGGATGAATCGGGAGGTCCTAAGCTCTCAAGGTCAGAAGATGTGGATTCCTGGCTCCCATGCTTTCTGTAAAGTGCTGAGGAGTTTTATTTTCACTAGTAAATATACAATAAGTGTCCACTGAATTGAAAGGGAGAAAAGCTGACCTACAGGTTCTAGGAACCAGCATGATCAACTGTGGAGGTGGGGAAGTTGAAGGTTAACAATCTTGAACAATAGAAATATTAAAATTGAGAAGACAATGACCTACCCATCTTTACCTCCATTAAAGAACAAATTTGAGGAAATGGGGTCGAAGGGTGACATGTAGATTTGGATCTGCTTTAGGGAAGTTCCTGGTGTTGGGAATGTTTAAACAATGACACGGGTTGGCAAGGGCGGATGTGAATAATCTGTACCAAGTTTTAAAAATGGAACAGAAGAGGTTTAGCTGTGGGTCTGCTTGTCTAACTGGGTCTGACATGAAGGGAGTTAAGGAACTTGAGAGATCTCTTAACTGGACATGGCTTTAACAACTGCTTGTGTTATAAGCCAGACGCTTTCAAGTTGGGTGCTAACTATGTTAGGAGTGAAAAAAGGGGGCTGGGGAGATGGCTCAGTGGGTAAGAGAGCTTACTGCTAAAGCATAAGGAGCTAGGTTCAGATCCCAGAATGGCCTCACATGACTGTAACCCCAGCACTATGAGAGGGAGAGACTGGGGAATCACTGGGGCTTGCTGGCTGTCAGTTGAGCTCCAAGCTCAGTGAGAGACACTGTCTCAAAGGAATAAGGTGGACTGTCCTCCTCTGGCCTTGGCACAAACACATATACCATATTCTCAAACATACACAACAGTAAAAGTAAGTTAAAAAATTAAAAATAATTATCATACAGAAGCAGTCCATTTCCCACTTGGGAAAAGTGATAAGAGCCCTGGCCTAGCCAAGCCTGTGGTGCTCACAGATTGTAGGCAATGCCACATGCCTTTTTTCCCCACTTGCCTGATTTAGGCAGCACATTCACCAAAAGCTAGAGTTTTCCTTCCTCATCTTTAATGGAAAGTCTTCAGATTTCTGCCAGAGTGAGGAAGTGGCCCTTGTGCTCTCAGCACTCTGAACGGGAAATGTAATAAGCTATTGTTTCTCTGGTGAGCTGAAAGTGTAGTATTTGCAGTCAGGTCTTCCTGCTGCTTGGACACCTGGTGGCTCAGCCTTTGCCATGAACCTCTGTGTCACCTGCTGGCTTAGTCATTTTGTGTGTGTGTGTGTGTGACAGAGTCTAGCAGGGGCTGGGTAGAGAGGAAAACAACAGCAACCTGCCAGGAAAACGGATCACATGAGGGAAAAATTCTTGTCAGACTATGGATCCAATATAAACACTGCTCTTTAGGGGGCAGATGATCGATCTGAGGCTGGTGTGGGGAGACATCCGGTCAGGTCACACCTGCTCTGATGCTGGGCCTTTGGGGGGAGATCACTGGATGTTTATCATTGTCTCTTCAGTAAGTTTCAGAGTTTGGCTTCCATCCTGAGTGTCTGGTCCCAAGACACCTCTGAGGCAGGAAATGGCTCTGTGAATTCCAGAGCATTCCTGTACCCCAGGTTGGGCCTTTAGCATGTCTACCTCCACACTGAGGAACTTTGTTTCTGTCTCTAAGTAAGGTAGCTTTAGCATCATAAACTTTACCCTTTTGTTTGGAGAAAAACTCTTTTTTCACTTAAGTCTAAATGACACTTTGATTTGAACCAAGCATTTTCCTTAATAAGTTGTGAAATATATATAATCTAAATGGTGAACTATTTTGCCCTGGCCTCTGCCCTGTGGTTTGTTTGATTATTGTTTTAATAGTAGGTATAACAGCTGCATCCTTTGCCACCTACACCACAGGCCCATACGGCCCTTAGCATTGAAACTGCCCCTGCATTCAACTCCTCTCTTACTATTGCCCTGACCTGATTTGAGCCTTTTCTATCTCTTCTTTGAACCAAGGCAGTGGCCTCTTTACTGGCCCACCCCACTCCTAGCCACTCCTCCCCTTAACACTTGAATCTGATTAGGTCTCTCCATCACTGTGCAGCAAGATTATATCTGAACTGCTTTCTTGTACTTAGTGTTGCATGCTGACTTCTGCCTTCTCCCTGTGCCAGTACCACTGAGTCCAGGAATGTTGTCCTTTCTCTAGCTCCTTGGAAACATGCCACTGCTGGGCCTCCTACTACTCCTGGCCACCCCAAAGATGAGCACAAATGCCACGTCTCTTCCCTGGCACCACAAGTACTGGGAAAGAGGAACCAGAGATCTTCCTGGACCTTCAGGCTGAGGCACTCCACACTCTGAAAATGCCGAGGAGCCTGCCCTACTGCCTTTCCACTGTCTTCACATGACTATATTTCCAGTCTCCTAAGCAGGGGGCTATGGACCTTGGTCTATCTCCTTAGTTGATTACAATATCAAAGCGGTAGTGGGTGTTGATCTTGTTGCAATAAATGCATGCATTTTTAACACAAACACCGTATTACTGCTCACTACTAAACACCCTGTCCTGTAGGTAGCAGCCCCCAGCAAAGGCTAAGGTTAATGGTAGCCAACAGAACAAACACAGATATAAAGTTGTCATCACGCAGCTGAAAAGCATGTGTTTCCGCTTGCTGACTGTGGTTTCTTTGGGCTGCTTGTCAGAGAGCATGGGAAGGGGCTGCCGTGGGAACAGCAATGCCAGCCAACCCTCTGGTGACAAAGGCAGACGGGGAGCTGGAGAGGGGGTTTAGTATGCACTGGCAGGAAACACACTTAGAGCATCTCTCAGAATCAGGACAGAGGACACCCACAGGAATTGCAACTTCAAAGCTCCTGAGCAACATCGGAGGGACCAAGCCTGTTGGCAGAAGCCCACAGCTCCTTCCTGGTTCCTCCAGCCTTGGAGCTTGGGGGCAAATGCAATGAGGTGAACCAAAACTGCCTTTCTAGTGGTGGAAACTCAAGCAAACCCACCTGGTGTGTCCAGAGAGAAGCCCACGAGGAGGACTGCCTTTGAAGCTGGGCAAGGATGTAACAGCTGGAGGAGACCTCCTGCCCGCCCCCCCCCCGCCCCCAGGATAAGCACCTACTCCTCAGTTCTGGGTTACACAGAGGTGGAGCCAGGGTATTGTGGTGGATGCCCTTGTGGTGGGGACAGGATGCTGCAGGAAACAGGAGAGAGACTACTAGCTTTCAGGGGCGGGGGGAGATGCTCAGGGCATGAAACACCTGTACGGCTGAGGATCACTAGGGCAGAGTGCAGACTCACAGCAGGGGATTTAGAAAAGCAGATATTCCTAGAATCCAGTTGGAAAATCATTCATTTTTGGTGGGAAAATTGCTTACTTTTCCCCCATGCACTCCAAAATAAGAAAATCCAACAAGGGAAATTTTTTCTGATACTTCCATGGTAGATAAAGCTCAGCATACACCTTCTCAAAACAGCAGTCTTTATGAGAACACCCAGATCTGGAACTCCCCTGTCCATGGCCTCATAAAACACTGATTTATTGACCTTCAGAAACACATCTTTATTGTTGTCGTTTTCCTGGTGTAAGAATGACTGGTAACTAGCTGAAAAGGCATGTTTCTGATCAGGGCCCAGAATGTGTTTCTATTACAGATTGGCTACATGTTGGAAAGGAAGTAAGAGGGAGGTATCTGAAATATTTATCAACCCAGTAGCAGAGAGCTCATGATCTGTGTGTCTGTGTTCTCAGACAAGGGACTAGTCTATACCTAGGTCTCCCCTCTAGGATGGGACCCTGCAGCACATGTGCACACCTAGCCCCACCCTAGGGGATTTCCTCAGAGGGGTCCCCCATAGTCTTTTCCAGGCCCCTGCAGCCTCACTGCTTCTTAATAGTCTGCCCTACCACCTCAGTAAGGGCTATGCATGAGTTATCTTAAAACCATAAAAGTTTAATGCCCCATCTATTTGGCGGGGTTTCCTGAACTCAGGGCCTTGTGCTGATTGGTAAGGTCATAAACATTGGTGGTTTCTCTCTGGCAAGATTCCTTTAGGTCTAACCCACATACACCATCCTCTTGACCTAGAAAACTTTCTCCCTCACCACCTCCAGGATCTCGTCTTCTCTGAAACTTGATTTTCTACCCATCCTTGGAAGACCACTTGAGGAACCTTTCTCCCAAGGTCCTCTGGCTTCTTGGGCTATGCCCCCTCCTTCCTTTCTTCCATCTGCACTTTCCGTATCATATGATTCTTTATGACTGTTACAGCTTTTCCTGCCTCGTCCTTGCCACTAGACTGTGACCTGCACCCATCACACCTGCAAGATGTTTCTCCCACCATAAATGTCCACTGAAGGCATCAATCAATCTTTAGGTAACCTGGAATAAACCAGGCTGTGCATCGTTACCTCAGTGACAACTGTGCAACTTTATTTTCTTATTTAGCATAAACAGTCAGACTCTAACGTAAAAACTCAGAAATTTTAGAAGGCATATTTTCATTGGAACTGAAGACAAATTTGGTTGCAAATACAGGCAGAGATATAATTATAGAAAAAAAAATCAAAAGACAAAACTTAATACTTTCTAGGAAAGTTTACATCTATTTGGTGTCTTGTAAATGGACACCAAATACTTGCACATAATATAATTTTTAGAAGTTCTTTTCTTTTTGAGATAGGGTCTTATGTAGCTCAGGATGGCCTCAAGCTTGCTGTTGTAACCCAGGATAACCTTAAACTTCTGATCCTCCTGCCTCCACCTCCTGAGTGCTGAGATTATAGGCATGTACTACCACACATGCTGGGGGTCGAACCCAGACTTTATCCTTGCTAGGCAAGCACTCAACCCACTAAGCTATAGTCATAGCCCCTAGAATCTGTTTCTGCCAACTCTTTTGCACTATCAATTCTCAGCTAAGAAGTTCTCCAAGTCTTACCTGGCCTGAATGTGATCACTAAAATCATCCATGTATTGCTAGTGCAATTTTCCAATT